AGAAGAGACGGATGATCGAACCAATTCCGTTCCTCAGTCGGAAGCTTTGAGACGTCTAGATGTGAATAGTATATCTTTTATTAAGTAAGCCCTTATTCAAAAAGTCTCTAAATTAAAGTCCCTACTTGGTCACCAGAACTGCGTTAATTGTTTGATTGTCCACAAATGTGGACTTGATGTAGGGACTGATTCAGGGAGCCATAATTTGTGGGAAATAATAATCTACCTTATTAATAAAAATCAAGTCACTCAAAAAATTCTTAAGAGTAAAAGTACACATTTCTGATATCTTCAAGTGTAGAGTATATACTAATTATACAAAAGTTAATTCAATTAAATTAATTCAAAATTCAAGCATATAACTAAAGACACTTAATAAAGAGATTACAATTGATAAATCTGTTTTAATTGTTAAGCGATGAGCATATATACGAGTTGAAGTAATAGTGCTAACTTTTTTGACAACATAAGTATAAGTTTTTTGACAAAAAATGAGAGTTGGAAGAACTTATCCCTTAACATCCAAATAATTTCCAGTACTTCATTTATTTTGTGTTTCATCATGTTTATATCTGTAATCTTATTCTATATTGTATAGACGCTCGAAAAATAAAGACAATGTAATCAATTGGTCATCTGATCAAGAAAAATTATTGAATTGCAATACAAAATCTGATAATTTCAAAATCTTTGATGATCTTATTGTGAAGGAAGCGATGTTCATGTTTGTGACAAAGCAAAGAATCCATCATTTTTTAAAGAAATTATGAAAATCAAAGCTGAAGATAAGCCACTATTTGACTCCTTTTAATAAATATCTTATCTGAATATAGTTTTGAAGAATATCAGTATAAAATCGTGTTGAAGCAAATTATCAACTATCTTCAAACACTTGATTGTGATCCAGCGGACATTAAACTTCATCCTTTTCATTAAATTTGTTTTCATTTAAGTATTTGTTTTAATAAACATTTTGAAAACTGATATAAAAGAACATCAGTAATAAAAAATTAATTCTTTCATTTAATCAATCGTAACATTGAAATGAAGGAACAGCAAGTGTTTATTCATTTTATTTTGTAAACTGATTTTTAGTTGACTGAAATTGATTGTCAACTATACAGATCCAATTTAAATTTAACTTGATTTGAAGGAAATTTGACATTGAAAAAACTTCTTCATTAGAAAATAATAACACTTATTACGAGGCATTGGTTAAACTTATTAATAGAATCAATTAAAAAGTTCGAAAATTGTATTTCCGTTTTTATCTACTGAATTTTGATTTATTTGCATTTGTTAACAGTTAACCTTTCTATTATGCGAAATATTGAGTTCTTACTATCATATAACACTGATCGATTGATATGTTGAAAAGTTTCATTACTATTTATTGCCTATTTATAATAAAGTATTAGCCTATAAAGACAATATGGATATATGCTCATCGAACCTATATTAGTATGATTGATAAGAAGAACAGACAGAAGTGTTTACATCTGTTTTGTTCGTCAAAAAGAGTCAATATTCAATAAAACGCTATGAAAGTATTGATAATTGTATTCCTCATCATTAATTTGTTGAATTTATTGATTAGAATACAAGCTATCTTAAATGGTTTAAATGGTACTTCTTCACGTTGGCAAGTTTATCCTGGCGGTAGTTATCATTATGGTCCATCAATATTGATCGATAATAATGAAAATCGCACTATTCATATGTGGACATGTTCACCAGGTACAGGATCAATGGAATGGGATGTTATACGTTATCATTATTCAAACGATAATGGTCAAACTTGGTCACCAGATGTAATAGCATTAACACCAACAATTGGTAGTCTTGATACATATTCTGCTTGTGATCCAGGCGTTGTTAAAATTAATAAATATTATTATATTGGTTATACATCCACAACAAATCCAAATGCAACACAAAATCAATTATTTTTAGCACGATCATTGATTCCGAATGGAAACTATGAAAAATGGAATGGTACTAATTGGGATTTAAATAATCCTCAACCAATAGTTGCATATCATGGTCCATCAAGTAAATATGGTATTGGTGAACCATCTTTAGTTCTTAAAGATAATCTTATTTACGTTTATTATACAACTGCCGACGATACTGGTTCATTTACTGATTTAGCTATAGCTCAACTAAATTCAACAAATCAAGATACATGGCCATTAAATTTACAACATAAAGGACATGTTATTAGAAGACGTGTTAATCTTGGTGAAGATTCAACTGATATAAAATGGTGTCCTCAATTACAACTGTTTATTGGTGTAACAACAATAAATCGTTTTTCATCTCAAGCAACTGTTGGTGTTTATCAATCATTAGATCAATATGGTTTACAATTTCAATCTACACCTTATATTGGTCAACATGTTCAACAAGGTGCACATAATATTGGTATAAGTCGTTCAACATCTGGTTGGTTTTATTTAGAAAATCAAAATCATTTTGTCTCGTATACTTATCAACCTGATGGTTCTAGTTGTGGAAATTGACCGACGTATTTAACACCTGTTGAAATTGTCCAATTACCATTAGGTACTGTCATCGATGGTCAAGTTTCATCTTATTATAATTGGTCATTATCGAGTCCTTTTATATGGGATCATAATTTAACAACATATTGGTCATCTCTAACAGATAACAATGAATATGCAATCATTAATTTAGGAGAAATATTATCAATTGAAATTTTATTTCTATACAGTTGTATAAAACATATCCCATCGAAGTGTATTTTTTTTCCTCTAATGTATAGAATAATAAATATCAAGGCAACTTTATTGATAAATATTGTCTGCAAGAATTTCATTATATCAATTTGAAATTTAAAAGTAATATAAAGCATAATAATGAGAAGCGCATGTAACATATCCCAAAGAGATATTATGTGTTATTTAGTAAGAATTATACGAATAGATAAATAATATCTCTCGATGTAATTCAAGTAAGGACAAATCAGTTAAAAGTTTATTTGTTCGTCATAGAGAAAAAAATAGTTGACTTATATTGCTACTGCCGTTCGTTTGTTTTTTCTTGTTTAAATAAATATGTCAATATATCTTTATTCTCACTGAGAAAATGCAACGCTCCTAATTTGTCGAAGAAAATTCTACCTGTGTTGGGTGCATATTATCATGACCATGAAATTAATTTTGCAATATATTCAGAATATGTTACCGAAGTTTATTTATGTTTATTTTCATCGTGTTATGATGAAGAACAATAATTAATTGAATATGCTCAAATTAATATTAAAGATAAGCTTTGATCTATATATTGATCGTAGATCATGTGTTTGTATATTGATTAATCAAATGAAAAAGAAACTCCATATTTTTAGAACAAGTCTATCAAATTTGATGGATTTATTTATCCGATTTTGAACCTAGTCAAATTTATATTTATCTTGTTGATGATTCTCTTGATGCTCAAAATGATCGTCATTTTAATATAAATAAAGTTTTAGTTGATCTGTATGTACGAACTATTACTGATAAATTAGAATGAGATAATTTAACATTCAGTAGTATAGACAATGCACCATTTATGCCAAAATGTGTCGTTGTGGATTCCAATAATATCAACTGGAGTGATGATATTCTACTAAATATTCCTTTTCATGAAACCATCATTTATGAGTTACATGTAAAGATTTTTCTGAAATTAAACTCAGATATTCAACCGTTTACAGAACTATTCATAAATATTAAGATTTTTCTTAATCTATAATAACTATGGATTATGTTATAAAATATTCTGTACAGTTATTGAATTGATTCATAATAACACGTCATAATAAAAATTATTGTCGACTGTCGAAAGTTCTTGAAAACTCAACTGATAATTCATTGTAGTTTAAGTCGATTTTCCAAAAAAGACAGAATAAAAAAGTGAAAAATTAGAAAGCATTTCAATTTTCAAAGAATATTTAACTTAATAATCTGCTCTAAAATCTAGTATCAATTTATATATGATTCTTTTTCTTCCGATTTAACTTTAAATATGCAAACTAACATTGTACTGCAATTAGATTTTGCATGATCTAATATGCGCAGAGAAATGTAAAACTACGAATCATTGAGAATTTTCGGTTTTTCAAACAAAAAAAAAAAAAATTTTTCTACATCTCATATTCCTTCTGTAATCTTACGTGCAAACGATTATTTGAATATTGAAAGAATCCATTATATCTCAGCAGTAGCTGTTCAACAGTTTGATTTCGATTTTGTTCAAAAATTACGATTTTGACATCAACTACTCGATAATTTGTATTCTAAGTAAAGGTTTTGAAAATAAAAAAATAACAAACAACTAAGAAATAGAAAAAACGAACGGGATGCTGAGGAAACATTCAAGAATCTGTGATATAGTCAAATATTCTAACTTATAACAAGTTCAAGAGCATAACTTGTAAAAAAAACTAGTCTCGCTCTTGGTCATCAGTAGTCCGTCAATAAGAACGTAGAAAACATAAACAATTCAAGTAAGTGATAGACTTCTAAGAGAACAATTTTACTTGACGTTACTTCAACACTTGTTTCTGTTGATTGTCTTTTTCTATATGCATATTTTCCGTAGAAAACAGCACAATTCGTCGAGATTTTTAAAATCAACGGATATAAATTGTGTGCATTTGCTCTCTAGCAACAAAATAACAAGAGATAAAACGTTCATGTACCTTCAATTAGCTCCATCTTTTATATACTTTAACTAACGTGTGTCTCTAACGAGTTTGTATTATCATACCTGCGATTGTATGTGATTGTATCTTCTTTTCCAACAATTAAAAATTATTTACTATTACCCAACAATAATAATGAGTTTTTTTAGCATCTCAGTAAGGCATTTTCATCTATGTCCCTCTCATCCTAGTCTTTAGTTCCTAGCTTTCATCCGTTCCTTATCGTCTACTAATTAAAGAGTCGTTAGCCACATACAGCGGTCATCAAACCTCAACTAAACGCCAAAATCAATGTCATTGATACGATGACTTATCGAGTGTTGTGACTTGAAAATCTGTTTTCAGAATTTTAAATAACTTAATATTTCTCATACTGAAAGTATTGTGGTTCAAACATATAATTCTTCGCTCAAGTGTATTTTTAAATGAATGATGTATAAACCTTTTCAATACACTTAGCCAATAACATAATAAATAGAAAAAAAATCAGTTTTAAACAGCGTCAAATAAAGTCCATCAGGTAAAGATTTCGGACTTGAACTCAATGGATACTATTCTAAAAGTAAGAGCCAATTATAACTTGATTTTTATAAGATCACCATCAAGATTATTCGAGAAATGTAAAGGATGTATTAGTCACAGAATACAAATAATTGAAAATAAAAATTATCTCGCACTTTCAAAGCAACAATCCAGTTCAAATCCCAAAATTTTTTAACCAATGGGATCTAGCATTATATCTTTTTTATCTTCACGACGTATAATATTATTTTATTCTCAGAATAAAATCGAGCAATTTTATGTACAGAATATTTTATCATTACCTTTTCGGCTCAATGTTAATGGAAATGCATTACTCAGATCTTTCTTAATGTTATGCTAAGCAAAGTCTACTTCTCTTTTTTTGTATGTTTTAATTAGATTTTTTTCCATTGTTGGTTTCATAAACGATAAAGTAAAGTAATTATGCAATGCATATTTTTGTTTTGAATTTTCATATCGACAAACAGATGTACAGATATGCTATTGTACAAGAAAAAAAACCACAAAAGATTGACATACATTGAGAGAAAAAGATAAAGTATTGTGTATTCAAAAGAGAGAGAAAATATTGACATTAAACATTAAATTAGAGTTAAGCTTGGCTTGATTGACTTGTACTTTCTTCATCGACTACCATTTGAGTATCTTGTGTTTCATTAGAAATAGATTCTTGTTGTTTCTGTTGTACTTGAGTTTCTTCTTGTTGTTTTTCAATATTATCATTAGCAAGATCAGCTGTTTTATCAACATCAGTTTGTGAAGCAAGTGTTGAAGCTGTTGTTGGTGCTGGCATCCATTTATGAACACGCATTGATGTTTCATGAATGACTACCCAACGTTTTTCCCATTTTCGTACAGATTGTAATGTACAAGAGTATTGAATAGCTCGTTTAAGATCAGGATCATTGGAATGTTGACCGTGATGTACTTTACTTCCATAATTACCACTACTATAACGAGTCGATGAAGCATATGATGACCCGCCACGGGCTTCACTCCGAAGACGAGGTACGATCATTTGATCTACAATAAATTCTATTTTTTGTTATTCTTTTTATTTTCGTTAAAAATATGGCTGTCTTAAACATTTAGATACTTTTCTTTTCATCCAACATACTGATTTGAAATTGACAACTAGAAGTTGCAGCTCACGAATAAAATGACTAAACAAAAGACACAATTGACTCATGGCACACCTAAATTTTTATTGATTATCTGTTGAACGTATTGAAATGCTTCAGTTGTTTTTTCTTTTGAGTATTTATACAAAAAAAAAAAACATTTTTTTTCAGTTTTCTTCTTTTTGAAATATTTTTTGTAGCTTCATTCTAAATGAATATCTTTCTATAGATGGCGTTGCTTGTTAAACACTAGTTGGTTGTCTATGGAGATAAAGATAATAATGTCTGCATTCTTTCAATTATGAATACAGCATTGATTTGTTGAAAATAGAAAGAGAACAATGTTTCCACCACCGTTCGAACTAATTGAATGTATTGATCTATTTAATATACTCAATGCCGAAATTATTGGATTAGCACGTCTTAGTGATATTAATTATCTCTATTTACTTGGTTTTATTTGTTTTTTTTTTTGAAATTTCCAATAATTTTATTCCAATATTTCTTAGATTGTCGATCACGCAAAGAATATGATGAAAGTCATATAATAAGTGCTAATCATGTTCGACAAGTAATTTAGTTTATATATTATTTGATTGAAATCTTTGACATATTCTAAAGAATCAAGATGGTCAATATGAAATGCCATGGCATGCTGATCTTGAAACACGTGAACATATTGTTCTCTATGATAGTCGAACGAATAATTTACCATTAAAAGAACAAGGTATATAATTGGTGTTTTGATATGACGATTAGTTGTTAAAATGTTATTTTATTCATATAGATGATATATATGCATGTGCAAATTTACTTCATCAACATGTAACTGGATTAACAACTATTAAAATTGTTCAAGGAGGATTTCAATTATTTTCAAAATTATATCCATTTCTACGAACACGTCAATCTCTTTATTCACCAAAAGTAAGACTTGTGTTCATTTGTTTTTCGTTTTTGAATAATGAATTTTGAAAATATTTTTTTTTTTAGGAATTAGAATTAATTCAAACTTATCCAAATGAAATATGTCCAAAATTAGTTTATTTGGGTCGTCGTGAACATGCTGTTAATTCACAAATAGTGAAAGATTTAAAAATTCGTGCTTATGTTAATTGTACAAAATATGAAGATTATTTGTTAGTTTTTTTTTTTTTTGTTTGAGATATATTGTTTTTTTTTTGTCTATTTTTATTTTGTAAAATCATAGAGTACAAAATAGTGATTCACGAAAATATTGTCGTATTCCAATAGATGATGTTCATGATGCACAGAATATATTTGAATTGTTACATGATGCTGTTAATTTTATATGTAAAATTATTTTTAACTTCAAATATTTAAATGATTTTTCTTTTTCTCTGTTTAATAGCTGTAGCATATGATCGTGGAGATCCTGTTCTTGTTTATTCCGATCGTGGTGTTAGTCGATCAGCAGCTGTTATTGTTGCCTTTATTTCATTTCAAATGAGAATGAATTCACAAGTAAGTTTTGATAAAAAAAAAAAAAGAAACGAAATGACTCAATGAATAATATATGTTTTTTTTTTGTGAATATTTAGCAAGCTCTAAAATATGTTGAAGAACATCGACCTATACGTCCTCAGCAATCATTTATTGCTTGTATTGATAAATTGAATGAAAAATTACAAGAATTGAAAGAAGCTATGTCGACTGCTAATCAAACGTCAGTAACCGATGATGAACAAATAAATCCATGAATAATAAACTGATTTTTTTTTCTGTTTCGAAATATAATTATTTATTTCATCATTTTCTTCCTATTATATTTAAAAAGAAAATAACAATTCTTTAACTTTTTTTTTTCTTAGGTAATCTTTCTATACTGATTGATTATATTTATATAGTGTAATAACTGAACATGAAGTATAATTTTCCAATATAATGGTTATTGCACTTAATAAAAATAAATAAATACCTGACACATCAAAATATAAGAGAACTAATACTATCCCAAGAAGACGAATATAAAGAAATAAAAATATCAAAATTTTCGAGATGTTTATTAATTGTACATTCCCTCGTTTATATAATCAGATGGTGTTAATATCACATGGAAAGAGTATTTCTGTAAACTTAAATAGCAAAGTATCTATTTTATTTGATAAAAATGACAATATTACTAATAAGAAGAAAATAATAAACGATAATGCTTGAATAAATATAATGAAATTATTTACATTTACTATTGAGAAACTTTTGAATTGTCATGGTGTTTACGTCGTTATAAGCTGAGGCGATAGTATGAACTTTTTTCTCGAAATACTTAGGGGTACCCAAAAGTAGTGGCGGAGGTACATTATTGTCGTATAGAAGGCTTGAGAAAATTTTCTTTTTATATGAAATGATAGAGAAAATAAAACTCTATTTTTCTGTACTATTTCATCCCTATTCACCTGGTAACATAATAATAAAATTTCGATAGAAACTTTTTTTGTTGAAAGCTTAACTTACAGATAAGACAGATTATATGGTTACATTTTGTATTTCAATTTTGAATCACTTAATACGTTGTAATAAAAAACAAAATACACCATAGGATGCAGCATGAAAAACTACAATTAACATAGGACGGCTTATTTTATAGTTGCACTTTTTCTTTTTGGTAATAAGCAAAATTTTCAGCGATCAATTTTCGACCGTGCAAAAACACTATTTTTTGGTACAAGATGAATTTTGTTTTTTCCTTATTTCATCTTTTTATCACCTGATATCTTTTATTTAAAAAAAAAACAAAATACATCAGAAGACGCAGCGTGAAAAGCTGTACAACTTATATAAGACCGTTTATTTTAGTTACGTACTTCTTATTTGAAATAAAAGCAAAATTCTGTGTGACTGTCTCGAAAAAATCATTTTTTTTTCTTTACGAAGAGAAATTCCTTTGTTCTTGTCTCATATATGAAATAAGCTGTCTCATGTAAATTGTAGAGCTTTTCACGCTGCATCTTGTGGTATATTTTGTTTTTTATTACAACGTATTAAGTGATTCAAAATTGAAATACAAAATGTAACCATATAATTTGTCTCATCCGTAAGTTAAGTTTTCAACAAAAACAGTTTCTATCGACATTTTATTATTATAGTACCAGATGAATAGGGATGAAATAGTACAGAAAAATAGAGTTTTGTTTTCTCTATCATTTCATGAAAATAGAAAATTTCCTAAAGCCTTCTATACGACAATAAGTTACCTCCGCCACTACTTTTGGGTACCCCTAAGTATATTTGGTTCGGGACTATAAGTCATGAATGTTGATCATTATCTCTCGCAGATTCTTTTTCTATCTTCTTTCTTTACTCTTCGAATTTAATCGACGTGATTGGAGAATATCCTAGAAGACCAATTGTATCCAAACATATTTGAAATAATTCAATGATAACATATTAAGTTGATACAAGATGAAACAATTATTCTACTTAATAAATGCTATCAAGATATTCATTACTTTGTTGCCTTTACCGACAAAGTTTCTATGATGATTAATTACATAACAATTGCATTTGCTGAATCTATATAATACCGAGATTAAATCGAATAGGAAATAATCGGATACAGAAAATAGTCAGATATTTGATAAACACAATTAGATTATTCATTATTTGAATTGTTTTGAAGAATTAATATATAAGCAAAAAAAAAAGATACAAATAGTATGCGAGAAAAATAGACGTTGCACTTCGTTGAAATACATTTGTAACAAATGAAACTTTCTCTCTCGTCAATTTCTTATTCTAATCGAGCACTATTATGTTCTCTTTACTGCGTTCAGTTAATTTGTACTTTATAATCTTATGATAAAATTTTTTATCATTTCCATATTTTTCGTGTTTTCTTAGAGTGTAAGATTAGATCTTGAAGAAGACTATACGTTTTCTCATTTGGAGAATATGTATGGGTTGTATTATTTAGAATTTTTCGTCGTTATATGCTGTTTTGTGACCTATAAGTCTTTACCATATCTAAGTAATCAAGATAAAATGCATAATCGACAGAACACTTAGATCGGAAATATATAAACTTAAATGTATTCTAACTGCTTATTTCACTATCGAAGAATGATGAAACTACAATAAAACCTCAAATAAATCTCTGGATCATTTTCAAATTTAGTTACGTAGATGTGTTTCAATCGACTCGTTTCGAATTTAGTACATAATTATCGTCAATAATCCATTCAAAGGGGAAATAATCTAATAGTTATACCTCGTTATAAAAACAAGAAAATATGAATCGTCTAAAATAACAATTCTTGCTCGTATAAAGAAAAAACGTAAGATGGGAGACTTTCAAAATAAAATTAGCATTTACATTTAATAGATCTAACAAAATTTTTTATAATTGAATCAAGAGTTTCATTTTATGAGTTATCTGGTGTAAATCATTTGCTTTTCACTATATTGGTTTAGGAACCGTCTGTTTGGATGCATGATTTCATAGAAAAATATTTAATCTTACAAAAGTCATCGAAACAATGATTAACAGTTATTTTCTTTTTTTTTCTGATTTGCTTTGTATAGCTATGTTCATTGATATTTGATTTAAACGAAATAATATAGTGATTATTGAATAGAGAAATTGGGAAAAATTAAAATTGTACCTTTATTTCAAATATTTTTCAATTTAGATGTAATACTTTTATTAGAAAACAATATCAAAGTTTTATCTGTTGAATTCAATTAAGAGAAGTAAACATAATTAATGATGTTTGATTTCAATCTCACTTCTTTCAGATGATGACATGTGCTCTTAGTCATACGAATAATTTTCATTAGAACTATATAATGTTTTTTGTTAAAATACTATAAAATGAATCTTACTAATACAAACCTATTGTATGGTTAATAAGACTTCTACTGAACTTTACTAATAATG